ACTGTGGAGCGAAAAAGTTAAATTTTGCATCAGTCTAGTAAGCATGCCTCTTCGCTCCCACTATGGCAGCGGCCTTGGAGTCCTATGTTGAATCAATGGTAAAATTAGCAAGTTTCTTAGATGTTCCATGTTGGTTTCAATCAGCGATGACATGTATCCTAATGTACATGATAAAAGTTGAGATGGTTTTAAGGCTGTAATGCTGTAGTTTTCATGCAAATCAGCTAGACTAGATTATTTCCAAGTATCAAAAATGAATTATGAAGGCTAGTTTGATGCATTTTTCAGAAGTATAATGAGAAGATGAATTGAATTGGCTACAAGTTATGACAATCTCAATTGAACCTTTGCAAATCATGAATTTTGTGATAGCGCACATATTATTAAAACGTTTGATAAAAACTCAATGTTAATGAAGGAGGACAATGATTCCTTTTCTGAACATTAAAGTTCCAACAGGAACAAGAAGAAGAGTCGCGCAGCGGGCAAGGTGGATCGACCAAGTGGAAGGAGACCTGCGGACCCTTCGCAGACTACGAAGTTGGCGAAGTGTGGCCATGGATCGAGTAGAGTGGATACGACTTCTTCGGACAGCAGAGGACAACAAGGCCTTAACCTGATTGGTAAGGTTGGTAAATGCGAGGAAATGTAGTTCATATTGTATTGAACACACTTAAGGCCCAAACGCAATGCCAGCGGAAGCGGAACGGCAGCGGCAGCGGAAAAGCCCGATCTGAGTAAGCCTACTTGTCGGATTGAAAACTAGTTAGAATCAAATCGACTTCGGTTGGGCATCTTGATGTCATTTGTGACAATTGTCAAACTTTCCGTTTCCGTTCCGCTTCCGTCCACATTGCGTTTGGGCCTTTAGAAATATTGATGTAAATTTAAGTGCTCTGAGACTGACATATACGAGCGTCGTCTTTCGAACTGTTTAGTCTCGGAGCACATACTTTTACATGACATGTTTGTTTACGTCTCATCCTTTATGTCAAAGACGGATTCCGTCACGTGTAAGATTAGGTATTTCTAAGGCTGTGAACCATTTGCCGAGTTAAATTTAACTCGTGGTTAAAAGTGACATTTCGAAAGTTATTTCTTATGTTCGAAAATCCCCGTGCTGTCGATCGACCGGTTTTCGAGCCACGGTCGTCAAAATTTAACTTCTTTTATGTCAGAAGTAACCACGCTCGGATAGCAGGGTTAATCGATAACTTTTCATCTGTCAAATTTTAACCAAAAGTTAAAATAATCCACCAAATGGTTCAGAGCCTAAGTGTGTAGTTCATATTTACTATGTGCAGCAAAGTGCCATAATTTTGCGCAGCACCTAATTCCGTGGATATCACCAAAATTTGCAGTATTTTACATGAAGAGCTTTGAGTGTGTTGGTTTGGTTTATTTCCTTTTAATTCCACTATACTTAATTGCTTATCTTTTCACAGATACGTGTATTTCGCCTACTACTTGCAGACTTCATCAGTGCTCACTGGTGTTGAGAACTTGGCACTGATGAAGTCTGCAAGTAGTAAACGAAATACGTGTATCTGTCAAAAGATAAGCAATTATAGCGGAATTAAAAGGAAATAAACCAAACCAATACACTCAAAGCTCTTCATGCAAAATACTGCAAATTTTAGTGAAATCCACGGAATTAGGTGCTGCGCAGAATTATGGCACATACGCGATTTTCAGAGTTGGTTGGAAATGCTAACATGAAGCTTTAGTGTGATAATTTATTAGCTATAGAATGATCTTTAGAAGAGGGTAGGTGGATAGTTCCGTTAGAGTACGGCAGTATGAAAATTGAATGTTGTCCTGGATACAACGTATATTCGATACGGGTCAGGTAAGACAGTAGGATCAGTTTCGTGGACTGAACACTTTTACGTGTGTTCCGGATCTTACATCCAGGTCCATGTTTATGTCACGACCCCACATTAATTCTTATATCACAGTTTTCGCAACAAATGCAGACCTCTAGGAACCGTTCCATTCATTGACAACTTTTAAGGATATTCTGGATCGTCCATAGGTCCATGTTTGTCATGACCCCAAATGCATTGTAACATCACTGTTGATAATGATTTCGAAAAAAAAAATACTCTGGAACTCTAGGTTCAGTTTCAAGGATTGACCACTTTTACGGATGATGCGGATCTTCCAAATGATGGTCCTTTAGCCATCCGGGATTATGCTTATGTGGATTCGAAAAAAAAAAACGGGGAACTCTAAGATCAGTGTTATGGATTATTATTATTATTTATCTTTATTAGAGAGGCTTTCAGCCTTGGGCTGGTTCGCCTCCAACGTTATGGATTGACAACTTCTACGGATGTTCCAGATCTTCCGGAGGACTGTCACATGGCCCTCCAGGTCCATGTTTATGTAACGAATCCCAAATCGGCCCTTTTTACGAGTGTCACTTCACGGTGAAAACGAAGTGAAGTGACCAGTTGTCACTCACGGTGAAGTGATTACCGTGTAAATAAAACGGGAATCACTTCACCGTGAGTGATAAGTTGTCACTTCATCGTGAAGTGACATTGGTAATAAGGGCCATCATTATTATATCACAGTTATAAGTATTTCGAAAAAAAAAGACGTGGAGTGTAATGGATTGACCACTTTTATGGATGTTTTGAATTTTCCGGAGGATGGTCTCATGGCTATCCGGATCCATGTTTATGTTATGACCCGAATTTATTTATTACATTACAGTTAAAAGTGTTTTCGAAAAATCCGCAGAGCAGATCAATTTCATAGATTGATCATGTTTATGCATGTTTCGGATCATCTAGATGACTGTCCCATGGCCATTCGGGTTCGTGTTTATGTCACGACCCCAAATTCTTTCTTGTATCACAGTTCCAGTGTATTTGATAAAAAAAAAGCGCGGAGCTCTAGGATCGTTTTCGTGGATTGACCACTTTACGCATGTTCCGCTGTCTACAGGGTTCAGATATAGGAACCATGACTGTATTCTGACTAATTATGAACAATCGTGCTCATTAAATATAAATGATAGTTCTTAAGTCACACTTGCAAAACCCCTAAACACACCTTTAAAACGTGTAACGACTCTTTTCGCTTTTAAAAAAGTAGACGACTCTATTTTAAACCTATTTTCAATCAAAATAATCCAAAGAGTGGAAATGGCTCCAATGTTGGTCTACGGATCTAAGATTGGGTCCATCGCTAAAAGTCTGCTATTTATTTAATTTTATCTAGATGAACGCGTCATTGGGACGGTACTTATGGATATTTTTGGCCGCTATTGAAAATTAAGTCGATTGCTGAATTTATGTATGGGCCCAAATAAAGGGCAATTAGACCGACATATGGTCCATTTCCCCTACCACAAGTTTCGAAATTCATCCAGAAATGATAATTTTAGAGATATCCGAGTCTTAAAAAATGACGCCATTAAAAAAATACAGGATCCAAAATGGCCGATTTTTTTTTTTGCAAAAATATGAAGGATTGTCCACGCAATTATGAAAAGTATTATGCAAATCGGAGAAATTCGAGTTTTTTCGATTCGTCATTTGGCGTGGAACTGGTCACTGGCGACATCGCTCTGATGAGACAACGAAACCCCACCCCCAAGCTCCTCTCCTGATCCAATCCTTCGACAATGTACCCCTCTAACTCTAACTCCTCGGGTAAGGGGCGAGTATTCGGCCCAACTCCTACTATTTAGACATGGAAATAAGTGAATTTTGTTACAAACGGCTCCGTATTGCTAACGCGATTGAGTAGATAAAAATTCAATTTTATTAAAATTCAATTCCAATTCATTTCCAATTCAATTTCAATTCAATTCCAATTCAATTCCAATTCAATTACAATTCAATTCCAATTCAATTCCAATTCATTTCCAATTCAATTCCAATTCAATTCCAATTCAATTCCAATTCAATTCCAATTCAATTCCAATTTAGTTCCAATTTAGTTTCAATTCAATTCCAATTCAATTCCAATTAAATTCCAATTCAATTCCAATTCAATTCCAATTCAATTCCAATTCAATTCCAATTCAATTCCAATTCAATTCCAATTCAATTCCAATTCAATTCCAATTCAATTCCAATTCAATTCCAATTCAATTCCAATTCAATTCCAATTCAATTCCAATTCAATTCCAATTCAATTCAAATTCAATTCCAATTCAATTCAAATTCAATTCCAATGCAATTCCCATTCCAATCCAATTCCAATCCAATTAAATTCCAATTCCAATCCAATTCAATTTGAATTCAATTCCAATTCAATTTGAATTCAATTTGAATTCAATTTCAATTATATTCCAATTCTATTCCAATTCAATTCCAATGCAATTCCAATTCAATGCTAATTCAATTCTAATTTAATTATAATTCAGCTCTAATTAAATTAAATAACTGCAATTCAATTCCTTTTCATTTCCAATTCAATTCCTATTCAATTCCTATCAATTCCAATTCAATTCCTATTCAATTCCAATTCAGTTCCAATTCAATTCCAAATCAGTTCCAATTAAATCCCAATTAAATTCCAATTCAACTTCAATTAAACTCCAACTCAATCAGCCGAACAATACGTAAAAAGTGAGCCAACCTTCAACTTCTAAACTAGAATATAATCACACTCACGGCTGGTTCTTCGAACAAAGATTTATTAAATTGTAATCAAAACCAGATAGTAGGTGACCATCTCACTCACGACAGGTGAGAATCGAGAAAAATGCAAACGCTCTAATAATCTCAGAGAAGATGTTTTGCTTGATTCACTCCCTCCCACAAAGCCAGCACACGAGAGAGCTGCATTGCGATAGAATCTCGAGGAAAATGTAATCAGTATTCAATTTGATGGCATTGAAATAGGATGTGTGTTACTATGTTATGCAGCCTGCAAACTTTTAGATTAGAAAATTATACATTTTCAGAACACAATTTTTCATCGTTGAACATAATTTATTCGCCACACTAATCAAATCAAAATTTTCTCTCGCCAAAATTCTACACATACCTATCCACACAAACACATTCAAAATTCATAACTGCCAAACCCACCGTTGTCCCAGCCCTGCTCGGGGTCATCGCAAACGGCCATGTACACCAGCGTCGCGTAGTTGGGAATGATTTTAGCTGCCACGTAGGATTTTCGATCGTTGGACCAGCGGTACACTTCCTTCACTTCGTCCCGCATTGGCTCGGGTGGTTCATCGTCCTGGCAAGCAAACAAGCAAGGAAATGTAATGTACACATACATCAAAACAAGCAGCTTATAAACTTTTAATTCGGCCACAACTTTCATGCTCAGCAAAAAAAATTTTCGAACTAGGTACCTATAGGTAGTCAAGTATTAATAACAGGAAGATTTAGTGGTGTTCAGATCGAATGATTTATGGGTATCGATGATATTTTGGTGATTTTTACGGAAAATTGTAGCTTCCGTTCTAAGTCATCGTATTACAACGATTCGTAATACACATCTAGATAGAGAATCTGTTGGTTCGGTAAGCCCTAAATCACCCTAAAAGAATATCTAAACGTACCATTTGAACGTAGTGTTGCTGGTTCAGTACGGTGGCATCCAACACTTTGAGAAAGTACCGGAAGAACTGGTTTCGATAGCTTCTGGCCGAGTGGGTGGTATTGCTCAGCTGGCAGCAGCGTGCTATGTACTTGGAGCAAATTTGACGATCTGGGAAAGGATGAGAAGGAGTTTGGAGGAGTGTCGAACCGGTAATTGAAAAGTGGTATTAAACTTGTAGTTGGAGTTCTTTCCTTCCTACCTGAGGGGGATTTAATTTTCGGAAGCAACTGCCTTGCTAGCTGCATGTACTGAGCGAATTGCTCGTCCAGGACATCGATTGGTTTGCCGGTGCCAGGTGTAAACGCTGGTTGGGATGTGGATGCTCCTTCAGATACGTTCATGTCGTTGACAAGACTGACTGGTGGTGGGTTACTGGGATGATTACGATCCTAGCAAATATAGACATTTCAGGGAAAGTTTTTCAACGCAACTGACAACCGTTGCGACGCCAAATGCTAATTCGGCTGAAATCCGATGCGTAATTGTAACTAGCAGCTTCGTAAATATAACTTCGCATCGCATCTCAATTGCGACTTCGGATTGGTGATGCGAGGACAATACTATTTTTCAAAAGGTTCAAAGACCCGAAAACCCTACTCGTACAAACTGTCATTATTTTCCCAAACCACTTAGCGGTTCCCCATTCGTCGCCGCCAACACGAAAAATTCTTATTTGCAAATAAATCATACAAATACGCCACAAAACGGTTCATTATGTGTCCGTCTCGTTAGGAATTACATTTTAATACAAATATGAATGCCTCAACTTGAGAAAAACGTAAAACTTTTAATCAGCTCCCAGCTAAACTTTTTACTCAAAGGTTGGGATCATTTGAATTTGAATAGATGCGCTCGGTGCTGTACTCGTCCTCAGCTATGTAGGCAGTCAGTGAGTGGGTTAATGGAACCCTTGTCATAACTCTTCGGCCATGCACCCATCAGCTATCGAAGGAGACCATACCAGCTGTGTACGAAGAGTGTAGGCATCCATGAAGTTATGGTTCAAGTTCAGGAGAGCACACAGATTCAACAGCTGTTTTCCTGTGAGTGGAGAGAAAAAATATAGAGAGAGGGAGAGCGAGAGAGTTTGTGAAGTTCGATTGGTCCAACCATAACCTTTCCCTATCCATGCATCCTTTTTTTACAGCATATGCTGGATGACGAACAGTGGCGTGAGTAGAGGCTTTGTGAAGGGCAAGGTTGAACGGATTTCAAATGATTTTGGCTGGTTTGAAAGGGCATTCGTTTTCCTTTTTCACAATTTTTTTTGATCATGTCATAAGGTGTTAATAAATTCCAAATTATTTTTTGTGGAATCGGTAGAAAGGCCGTTTTAGGTAGCTAAAACTCATGGCTTCCATATTTTTCCCAGAAAGCACGATAGACTGATGCAAAATTTGAAATTTTCGCTCCACAGTGCTGAATCGGTTCTAAATCGAGTCCTGATCAACCTTCTAAAATTTAAACTGACTTAGCACAAACCATTTGAAGTTTATATGGAAATTACTATGCGAGAGTCAAACTTTTTGTTCATTGTCTTCTTGCCTTTTTCCATATTGAACTGTTAACATATTCTACAGCTATTCTAATGGGAAATTTTCTCAGCTACGTTTTTCAGTCAGACATCAAATTAAATAGTTATTAATTGTTTAAGAGGTTGATACTCTTATGGCATGATCAATAAACTGTATTCTGCAGAGTGACATAGAAGCCATGATTTGTGTGCTCTATTTTACGCACAAGAAACACCAATTTTGCCTGCTGAACAGTTGATTGAGCGTAATCATACGACATTAGTGAATTATTATTGACTTTTGTTCTTTACATTCAATCGAAAAGTGGTCTTGAATCAAGGAGTAAATCACTCATCACCTTGTGCCGAAATTAGATTCGACACAGCTTGGGCACATCCATTGGCACACCTTCGTCATACCTTGGGCACACCATCAACACAATCTCGTAGACATGGGATTGTTGTAAATAAAATGGGAGTACTACTAGACAACTGTCATTGAAGTTGTTCACATTTTACGTGCTGTTTGACTGTATATTCAGGAATATCCTCTAATTTAATATACCAGAGGAACTCAGACCAGCAGTTCACTTATAAAAATTATCTAAATACGAAATATAGGTTCTAGAGTGGGCTCAAGAGAAAGAGACAGTTAATCAGACTCCATTAGTACCCTTAATTCAAATCATGATGCAAATCACACAAAACAAACTAAAGAAGTCCATTCATCATCCTCTATAGTCAGTCTCCAAAAATGCTCCCCACCGGTTTCAACTCTTTCTAGTCGCTGATAGACCCCCACACATCTATCAAAATAGGTTGCTGACACTTGATTGTGACTGAAATAAGGTGCATACAAGTAACCACAACAGTTAAATGACAAGTGTGCTGCTAGGGCCGATGCCTTTCACATCACGAAAGGCTAGGTTTCTGGTCTGCCTTTGAGGGCATTATAGAACACTAAAACACAGGACTTTTATCATCCTATGAACATAAAACACCAACACCAGCCACTTCTCGCGTCATCGTCAATCCGATTTATCCTTGCGATTTCAAACTACAACATTCAAGGTGTCAGAAATGCTGGGTTTTTACCCAGAAATACTGGGTAATTCACAAACAATCGCAGCTTGCTCTATGACCGGCACAATTGGCACACCTGCGGCACACTGACAAAAAGATGACCCATGATCGGTGTGCGGAGTAGACCTACCCCTTGTCATGAACAATGTTGTTGCTGAGAAAATTTCCTCCAACCACAGCTATCATTTTTAAAAGCAGAGTGAAATGATGAATTTTAAGATGGATATGAACATAACATTTTGCTTTCCCACATTAACTTCCATATAAATGTCATAAAGTTTGTGCTTAGTCAGTTTCGAAATAAATTAGTTCAATTTTTGGGAGGCTAAAAAATTTCAAATTTTCGATCAGCCTAATGTACAAACATCCAATCGCATACTCCATGGTCAAATTTATAGTTGGTCTACTAATCCGGAATTTATTGTGTTACAACAGAACCATATAACGTAATAAACATGATAAAAGATGATGAAGTAACCATTTTAGCGGTATAAAACATTTGAAAACGGATTACTAGAATTGTAAATATATTACAGTTAACTATCTCTAATTCGATTTGAAGTCGAGACGAGTACGTGAAGATATCGAGTTTCGGAGGTTAATTTAGGAAACATATTATTGGTACAGTTGAAATTCGGAAAACCCCACTGTATTTGCACAAAGATGCGCTATAATGCGTACTATGTCCGACGTTATGTTTAACGCACGAAACGAGCGTGAAATCAAATGATGCGTGAGGGGTTTTCCGGTGTCCAACTTGACCGAAAATATACAAAATGCTGTGCGTGTGCTTGTCTGTTTCGGCTAGTGTGTCACCTAATAGCATTTGTGGTCTACATGGTATGACGTGATTTTTGCAAGGGGTATTCAATTCTACACACCTTAATCTGTGCCAAGAGTTTTGGCAGTGCCGAAAGCTGTGCCAAGAGTTGTACCGATCATTCCGTAGTAGGCTGAAGTGTATCAATCAAGGTGTCAATATCCCATGAGTTTGGCAACCCCGAATGTTAGACTGTTGCGATTGTTTTTACATTTTCAATTTATCTTATTTAGGACCATGGTTCATGGTAAATATAAAGCTTCATTCTCATTAGAATGAGAGCGGATTGGGCAGTGGAAGAGGAACTGGAAGCAATACAGCCTATACGAACCGTTCACAAGAAATGGACGGTGGGCGAAATTTTCACCAGCTGCGAGTAAAATGCTCCCTGACAAAATCAAACCCAGAACTCGAACGGACGAAAGTTCACTCCCACTCTAGAATCAAACAGTTTTGATCGACTCAGAACTACGCAACCTCGAAGACATCGTATCGCAGATTGTGATATCTCTTACCATCACCCAATTACACACGTTCAAGCCTATCAAGTTCACGATCCTTTGCAGATGTGATAACTTCCACAAGGTACCCCCAATCAAAACCAATGGCCAATGTACCAGCAGCGAATCAAAACACATAAAGCAACCAACGATACAGACAAATAGGTTGCTACGACTACCATGAAAAACTCGCTCTGTAACATAGCTCGATCGGAGTGGTAGAAGGATAATGATATATTGTTTGCCTGCTTTGTTGCAATATACACGGATGAGGACATAGCTTGATCTGAATCGAGAAAAGAAATAACAAAAAAAAAAATCCCATAGGCTGTTTCTATGCACCACCAATGTAGAGTGCGCTAGGCGATTATGAGAGGAAACGTCAACCAAACCGTTTGTCTACATCAAAATTACAATTTTTACATCTCAAATTAACGCATATTGTTATGCGTATCTTGCATATTTCTATCGGGAGGGGATTATTTTATTATTTTACACATATATGTTAACGTATTTACAGCTCCAATAACACCACATTAAAAATCCGGAAGATCATAACCGCTGGGGTAGTTTTATAAATCTTCACTTTTCTTAACAAAAATATGTGGAAGCACCAACCGGTTCACTGCACAATCGATACAGAAAACAAAATAGTCCATGTGGATGATGAGTACAAGCACCTGCGATAGATAAATTAATCAGAAAAGGTAAAAACATTTTCCTCTTCGTATGCTTTACGGCGAAAATTTCAGCCCTCATCACTATTTTGATGATTCCCTTATTCACCACCAGAAGCTGAAACGATCGCTTATTTAGTTTCTATTGGATTCGCTCATTAACACACGTGTATCATCTTCGGCTTTACTTCGTGAAGCAGCTAGCCAACAATTTGCTCGTTTCCTTCTACCGCCCCGAGTGAGCTATGTCGCATGGGCTGCTTGTCATGAAAAAAGGAAGAAGATTATATCATTATTGCTTTCCACTTCTGACATAGCGTTACCATTCGGTTCGTTAATCGCTTGTCATTTTGTCATTTGGAGAAATTCTTGATTCCTTGACCACCAGTGAAAACCATCTAATGTCCCCCCCCCCACTTCATAGCTGTCATACCTCGGAAATGGTGCACGGTCCAGATAAACGTCACATCTGCAGTTCAACCATAGAGGTAACTCTAAGACTAGTAGGTCCCGAAGAAACGTGCTCAACTTTTTGGCTCAGCTCTGGTACTCTCTTCGGTCCCAAGCTAATCGATTCACCCCTCGAAAAATAGGAAAAACCAATAACCCCTCATTTTATCCGTCAAACTTTCATAGCGAATCAAAACAAACATTGCGTAGTACTAGAATTTCGACTAGAATGGGATGCGTTAATCGTTTTCTTGGGACCAATGGGCTAGTCAAGTAGTGAGCCAATTTAAAATCGTTAGTTT